GGGGCATGCAAGAGGAAGCCGATTAATGATTCTCTCTCCTCATTGATGTTTTTTCTTTCTCTCCCTCTCCCTTCTTCTCTCTGAAATCAATAAAAACATATTTTTAAAAAATTATTTATATACAACATTCAAGTATGCATTAAATATGCTTCCATACTACAGTTTGAATTACTACTGTCTCATTCATTTGCTATTGAAAGCTGCCCTATTTACTTTGTCTTATATAAACTTTTTGTGAGATATGAAATAAAACATTTTTTGAAAGAAACTGAGCAAATGCATATGAGAAACTGAGCATTTTTCATAAATTCCACAGAAGATCTACGATATAAGTGCCAACTTGGTTTGGAATGGCAGGTGTCAGAAATTGCATGGAACACAGGAAAAATTCAGAAATCCTGGCAATGAAGGAAAAAAATATTCAGAGACAAACTTGAATAAATTAGCTAAAAGCTGGTGGGGTTTGGGCTGTTAACTGTTCTTTGGGAAAGGAGGCATGGACTCACACTGAAATGGAAAAGTTGTCTTAAATTAAGTACATAAACAGAGTTCTCATCCTACAGTTAGGATTTAGGCATTCTCCACCAGGCTGTTCTATTGTTCCCACAAACTTCTCACCTGAAAGCATCCCTCCGTAGAGTCACAGGCAAAACTAGAACAAAGAGATCTTTCCTGACTCTTGCAGTAAAGAAACCAGATAAGCCAACAGAGTAGACAAACCAGGCCATGAGCCCCAGCATGGGAACTTTGCCCAGCCAGACAAATTTCTGTGCAGATGCGTCACACCAGTTACACATCCACCAAAACACAAGGACATTTACTTCTCCACCTTCACGGCTCAGGAAATTCAAGCCATCAACCACAGAAAGTCAGGAAAATAAGTAATATGCCTATCTGTTTTATCACCATCATTTCAGATATCATGCAGAATCATTCACTCATCCAAAAGCAAAGTGTTCAAGTTTCTATAGAACTTTAAGTGGTTCCAAAAAAAAAAACGAAAAAAAAAACAAAAACATTTCTTATTATCAGTCTGCCTTTACATTCCTTCTGATCATAATTTAAATGAATCGGTTAGCACACTGCACAAGTGACTTGAATTCTAACCAAAAAGGCCAGTAAGGCACCTTAGATTTTTAATACAAACTAGAAAAACTGCTTCTTCTGTGCTATTTCTAAGCAAGAATTGTTTTAGCTGTGTTCCATATTTTCAGCCTATTTAAAAATCAAATTATTTTCTTATCTTTCTGTTTTGCAATGGTTTTCGTGCATGCACGAGAAGCCAAAATGACTGTGAAATTCCAAAACCCCAAACAAGATTGTATAAAGGTTTCATCTGCGGCCCTTGACCTCAAACATGCACATCCTAATAACCAGAATACAAGATTTTTAATTGGTTCACTTTTCTCAATTCCTCACTAGGTCTAATTAATATTAAAATAATATGCTTGTATCCACTTGACAAAGAGTGTTAAGGTAAGTTTCAGAGAAGTATGCTGGATTTTCAGGAAAGGTTATCTGGAATAGAACTTTACTGCCTATAGTACTCAAAGTGAGAGGGAAAAAAAATCGCATAACTACAAATTGAACATATAAACACCAAGTATTGCTTTGCTTGTTCACCTTCAAAAACTCACCTATTAATACAATCTGCAAGTTTATATCTTTGCTGCAAATTAGCTGTCGGTGAAGTGTTGAAACACTGTTGGGCACACATTTGCACTGAGTCTGTGTGTCATAAACAGATCAGTGGTTCCTATCATATGGGCCAGACTTCAAAAGACACTGTTGCTTTCCTTTTTGTTTCCCTGTGGCATTGCTAAGATAAATAGTCTACATGATTATTCATGGTTTGAAGAATACTCTTGTTCAATGAGGTCTGCAGATAAAATGATGAAGTCAGTCCTTTACCAGACTTTCATGTGCCATCCATGTCTCTTCATCAAAAGTTTATTTTATACTGTTATATGCAAATTTACAACCTCCATTAAGCAGCTTCTTTTTCAAAACCTTGGGGGAGAAATTGCAAAGCATGCACAGTGGATATCTGCTTTTAACTACAGAAAAGTAACAAAGAAAGTTATTGTTAATTCTATTACCTTGAAATTGTAAACATTTCAATGGACACTGTAAAAGAAATATAATCAAAGTTCATTATACTGCTGGAAATGAAAAAGCACCATAGATGTATTTACAATTGAACAAATAAAGTCTAGACATTAAGTAAGCATGAGCAATTTAATACCTACCTAGACACACAGCAGCAAAATGCAGAGTACACCCCACTTCCTAATTTCCTTATACAGAAAACTACCACAAATAATAGCTTTTATTTAAAATGTAATTTTATCATGAAAAAATTTTTTTATCCAAGAACCACTGTATGTAGGATCTTTTGAGTTGTCATTTATGCTAAATGCAACTAAAAATTATAGCTTTGCTTTAAAATCTTGATGTCCTTTCGTAGACTATACATAGATAATGGATGTCATCGACAAATAATTATCATTCAGAATGCAATGCAAGCTAATTGACCATAATTTTTTAATGAATTAAGCTAGGTAGCATGCTCTTTATTATTTGAGGTCCAGGAACTCTGAATAGCTTTCCTATGATAAAAGATAATTTGGCTTCAACATTATTTTTTTTCTTAATTAATTAACTGATTCATTAATCCAGATTTTTAAAGTCCTTTGTGTTACTGTTTTTTTTTATGCTATTGAAGCTAAGATTAAAAGTTTGATTCCCAAAATGTTAATAAGTTTCACCCCGAATAAAGGTTTATATCAGATAGACATATATAGTACCTAAACAAAAGTGACTACTTAGAAAATAAATAGTTTGCTTTTGGATTCTTATTTTTCTAACCTTTATCTCCCCTCACACAACAACAAAAATGAACCAAAAATATTTAGACTTCACTTCTCATAACTAGTACAAAACATAAACTGGTGATAAATAATCAACTACTTTTAATAGATCAATCCTTGGGACGATAAAACAATGAGGAGATCTTCTGATTAATAGGCAGGCAGCACTGTTACAGGACATAGCCCAGGAATAAAATTTGCCTTATTTAATTAATGTATCCTTCCTGCTCAACCTTGGAAACCATCTATGAACAGGAGCCTGAGCAGAGACCCCCTCCTCACAGCTTAGTCATGATGCAAGAAAGCAGCCATACACTGTGCGAGAGTCTTGTCTTGAGACAAGAGAGAGAGAGAAGAGAAGAGATTGGTTAATACTACTTATTTCTTTGTTCTCTTCACCAAATAATTTGGTTTATAGCCCATCTTTAAAAAAAAAAAAAAACCATAGGATCCAGATAGCCTATTTTGACAGCTAACTGTAGGTGATTTGGGAGGAGAAAAACGTAAAATAAACCACTTCTTCCTTCTTTACTCTGGTTCACTTACAGGCCTTCTAAAACAACTGTCAGGAAAAATGAAGTTTTTTAAAAGATGCGTAAATTTATTAAAACTTTGAAGACATTGAACAATTTCTTGAAGTCAGAAATATAAATTCTTAACTCTAAAACACAAAAATTCAATTTCAAAGGCTTTAGAAAAGAATCCCTTATAAAGGGTTAGTACTACATTCTTTGTTAGGGTGGTACTTGGAACACTTCCCGTATCATTTCACCACTTCACCCCTGAACCATTGCCTTGATAAACTGACCAGCAGTAGCACATGAAATTGTGGAGAGATGAGAGTCTCATATTCATATTTATCTAAATGTAGCAAGTAGCACCGGGTTTCCCATTTAATGAAATGCCGTTTCTTTGATAATTCTTTGGAGGAATAAGCCTTTGCATTCCCATTTTCCCCAATCAGAGAAGGGCCTCTCAGGTGCCTTTGTCCAAACACACCTTTAAGCATTTGTCAGGAGTGAAAACACTGGCTGAATTATCACCGGAGGCGTCCTTACAGGGAGCAGGTAAAAATGCCGCAGAAGGTGCTTTACTCTGTTTTGTTGACATCTCAGATCCACTTGGCTGGTCACAGGTAGGCAGGTGGAAACTGGTTAAACACTATGCAACCAGGATGTTTATCCACAAGCAGATTAAGATGATGAGTCTAAGGCATGACGTCAGAAGCGGGGCCAGCAGTCTGCCCCAAGGCGGCAGTGCAGGCATGAAGTTGTGACAAAAGCCATCCCAGCCACCTTGTGCCTCCATCCAGGTGCGGTGCTTCCCCGTGAGCCAACCGCACAGGAAGGTGACCAGGCGCTGGCAGTCCTGGTCAGCGGTGGCATCCCATTGCCTGCGTGCCTGCGAGTGGCCTGGCCGCGGTCTCTCCAGCAGGGCCCCCGCGAAGGACACCAGCGCCACCACGCTCAACCAGTTGGGGTCTGCGCCGTCTGGAACTAGCGAATCCATCTGGTCCACCATCTGCTGGAGGCGGTTTCTCTGCCTCCGGGACCAGGATTGCGGGGTACCCAGCCACGAATGAGCAGCCAGGGAGCGGTGTTCCAGGAACTCGGTCAGTAGCCGTCGGGTGCGCAATCTCAGCTCGTCGTCCTCCATGGCCCGGCGTCTCAGGGGAAATGAATTTTTTAAATGAAAATAAATCAAATCAAATCTACCCTTATTACTAGGAAACAACTCAAAGCAGCAAGTGTCCCACTTACAGATTCATGGTCAAGTGCATTGCTGTGAGAACTAAATGGCAGCCCACACAGAGTTCTCAAACAAGTCCATCATGAATAGCATTAGTAATACTGGTTACCATCTCTGTCATACACTATGGGATATTCTCGAGCATATCATCTTATCCAATCTTCCCAGTAACCTTCAGAGAAATAACTAATATTTTCTGTATTTTATGGATAAAAAAAAAAGTCTTACCAGGGTAAGTAACTCATAAATTCCACCATGTCCCGTCCCATCTTTAAACTCTAGGATAAAGTTCAGTCCCTTTAGCATGGCATAAAAGGTCATGATCTGTCTCCTGGTAACTCCTGCGGTGGTCCCACACGTACCTTTTTAAAACATCACATTCCTTTCCTGGTATCCACCAACCCTATTCCCTTGCACAAGTTGTTCCTTCTTCATTAAACACCTTCCCTCTAGTCTAACTCCTGTCCACCTGGCTGACTTCTGCTCATTTATCAAGACTCCATCCAAGCATCACCTCTCCCAAAAGAAACCATCCTTGACTGTTCCTCATTCACCTTCTCCAGAAACAGGTTGCCTCCTCTCTACTCTTTCACAAATTTCATCACATGGCACCAAGCTTGGTCTGCCTGCTGCCCCTCCATTTGGATGCTGATAGAGCAACAATAACTATTTCTCATTCAGCTCTATTTTAGCAGCATATTGCACAATATCTGCTACACGATGGGTACTCTATCTATGGTGGTAGAATGAAAGAAAAAATCAGATGATGAATCATGAAACACAAGTAATAAGCAACACACAGAAACGGAAACCCACGATTTCTGAATCCAAGTTCTTTATGTAGCAGACATTTGAAAGAAACCCTACTATCTTCTACATTTCCTACAAAATACTGGAGACAGAAAGTTGAAGAAGGCATGATGCATGACCTAAAATACAAATATACACATGCTGCCATGCCTCAAGGGAGCCAATTATTATAAAACTATCAGACATCTTATTTACAATATAGTCTTCCTGGCTCTATGCAATGGCTCAGAGTTCCCTGCACACAGGAATCAGCCTTTGTCTTTCTGTCTTAGGTAACTAGCTGTAGCCCTGGTGGCAATATCTTGAACTTTTCACCACCTTAGCAAAACCATTACACAGGCAAAGCTGCACAAAGGAAACTTGCAGCTGTTACAGAATGCATAATTAGCCATCATTTTCAAGCTCCTTTGACTCTGCAGAACTTGATTCTGCAGGCAAGGGTTCAGGGGTGATCCTGAGACTAAATGTTTTAAAGTTCTCTTTAGATGATTATCATATAATAAAACATTCCATGAAGCCAGACAAATGGATTGTGGTTTCTAGCAATGCTCTTCATGTCATCAATCCAATCCAGAAAGTCTTTAGATTTTTTACATAATAAAAAATAAATATATTTTATTTGTAGTCATTAGTGAATTAAATCTATATATATAAAAGCCTAAGCAACCGAATGACCAGTCGACGGGTTGCTATGATATGCACTGACCACCAGGGAGCAGACGCTCAATGCAGGAGCTGCCACCTGGTGGTCAGTGTGCTCCCACAGCCAGCCTCCTGCGGACAGCCAACCTCCCACGGCCCCTCCCCATGGCCAGCTGGCCCTCACCCTGCCGGCTCCAGCCAACCTCCCGCAGTCCCTCCTCCCGGCCAGCCAACCTCCCACGGCCCTTCCCCCTGGCCAGCTGGCCCTCACCCTGCCCATCAGCCCCAATTGCCAGCCAGGCCAAGGGACCTCACCTGGGCACGAATTCATGCACTGGGCCTTGAGTGTTAGAACTAAAAGCTCTTTAAGAAAGCAAACCAAATCACACAATTTCTCCTCTTGTTGAGGGTCAGTTTTAAAATAACAAGTAATTCAGACGGAAGCTCCACTCTGAGATCTGAAGCATGATTGAGTTAGATGGGATCTTTCATGTCTGGAGTGGAATATTTGCATATTCATAGGGGAGATGCGAGCAGGCCCATCAGCTGGAAAATGCCCCCTCATAGGCCAGGCAGGCCACTGCCTTACCCCAAGGTCAGAAATGTTCACCACATAGTGTGCCTATCAAATGCAGGCACAGGCCCTTGGAAAGATGGTTGTCAAATGCACTGGGTTAATGGAAGAGAGCTCTGTAATGTTCTCTTTTACAAGGACATAAAAAGTTTGGAGAAATACAAGAAAGAAAGGGGTCAGTAAGAAAGATAATGAAAATGGAAGAGAAAGCTATCTCAATTTTATTTAAGGCCTTCCCTGCCACAGAAAAATGCCATGTTTGCCAATCTTTTATTTTAACTGCCTCCTAGAAATAGAAAATAAATCTTTCATTTGAGCTTATTATTGTATGAATTTTTTTCTAGTTATAATAAACTTTTTATTCTACCCAGTCTGTACTATATCACAAGAATATTGCATTTTTCCATATGCTGCCTTGAAACTTTTTCAAGCTCATTTTAAGGATTTATATTAGTCCACGAAACATGTCTAATTTTAATTAACAACAATTAAGTGCCTACTATATAGAAGGCACTGTGTGCTAGGAGCTGTGGAAAATATAAAGATCAACAAATACAAGGAAGAAATTGAAGAGAAGGAAGAGGATGAAGAAAACATGCAACGTAGGCATGAGATGTATATTAAGATAATGCTAATTTCAGTGACTTAATCCAAAAGAAATTCATTTCTTACTTATATCAGCCTAATGCATGTTTTACCGGTCTGCCAAAACTTTCCTCCATACAGTGATTCAGGGACTTAGTCACCTTCTATCTATGGCTCCACCGTCCCCTAGGGTCCAGACAGAGAGAAAAAGTGGAGAAAGCAAACAATCTTTAGATTGTTAAGTAACAATTCATTAGACCAAAAGCAACAGAGATCTATAATTGGTAAGAACCAGGCATATAGTTGATTCTGCCTTAGATGAAAGAGGGACTGAGAAATGCAGCCAGGCCTGGGCAGCTGCTTCCTGCTGTCACCAGAAACAGGGCTCTCTGGTTAGACAGTTTGCCGGAAGCCACCACATACCAGCACTATCATGAACGTGCACCAAGGAACGCGCGAGGCCCACGGACCTTGAGCGCTAGAAGGGCTTATGCTAGGCTAGGCACCGATTGTTCGTGTTGAGACTGTGGTGGCTAAAGCAATTTCCTGGCCTGATAGCCACTAAGTAAATGTTTACTGGACCTTACTGATCTTTACTGAGCTTTGAGACTGTCTGCTGCATAACTGCCATGCTTTACCGAGGGCAAGGTGTGCATCTAAAACTGAATAAAACTGACAAGGCCAGGACTCGGTGTGCCTCTTCAAGAAAGAGACTCCATCTGGCTCCCACCCCTTAATAATTCATACTTTGTCTAGCATTTTCATTTGTGCATCGGACCCTCCTGCAGATGCTGAACCCCGCCGTGCAGGTCATGGCAACAGCTAGCTTGCTATCTCTGCCTCAGAAGAGATGTAGCATTGAGGACTTAAATTTCAACACTGATGTTAAATTTTTTTAATTCTAATTGAATAAAGGGGTTAAAAATATGGTTCCTAATTTGAAGGCATGATTGTAGGTTACACACAGAGCCATGCCTTCAGTAGGCACTTGGACCATTTTTCTTAAGTTATCTAATTATTTTGAAGGAAACAAATATTTCATACAATACCCAAAACGTGAGTTGCTGGAAAAGATACACTTGTCTCATGTGTATAGCTTTCACTAAACAGGGTCTGGATTAGAATCATCTATAATAAGATATTAGCATAATCATATCCAGGTACTAGAGTTAGAATTTATTCTTTTATTTTTATACTTGTACACTTTTAAATGTATCTACAATGAACATAATATATACATCCTCAATGATCAATAAGCTACAATTATTTATAAAGATAAACACAATCAATGTTTCCATATTCTGGGATTTAAAGAACTGGTTTTAATTTTTTTTCTTATAACCATACAAGTTTATTCACTACTGTTTTGTCTATTAGATTACAGAAGTAAATTGCTTTTACATTAATCTGTTTTTTTACCATTTTTTCAGATTTGTTGCTAATTCTCTCTTGGATCCATTGTATGGCTCTCTCCCATAGACTACTACCCCACTACTGCCACCAACTGCACAGAATGATAATAAAAATAATGGGTTTTATAATGTACCAGTCACTGAGCTATTCTCTTTATTTGTGATATCTCATTTAAAACCCCCTATTTGATGAGATAAGTGCTATTATCACCCCGTTTTACCTAAGGAAGCTTGGAAAAGTATACTACTCTACTCAGCCAAATTCTAATAGCTGAACAGTAGCTTAAGTGAATATGAACCCAGGCAGAGACCATGCATTCAAACACCATAGTACCTTCCCTCCACACAAAAAAATATGTTATATTTTTAACATATTTTAAAAATAATAATTTATACATGCAAAATAATTTATAATATTCAGGAAACCTATACAAACATTATTGCATTGGATGCTTAGAGTAGCATGAGGATTATCTCCCTCATTTTCCAATTGAGGTAGCAAAGAGTCAAATACTCAAAGTTTCAAAGGTAGTAGAAGGTGCATCAGTATATATCCGTCCAGAGAAACAGCAACCACAGTCATTATCTCAGTCGAAAGTGATTTAATACAAAGAATTGGTTACCAAAGCATTGGAAGGGCTTGATTAGAAAAGGGGAGATGATTAGCAATGGCAGTGAACCACTACCATCACTAGAGCTGGAGGGACAGAAAAGAAAGTGTTGCTACCCAGAACCAATGGACACTGCTTGACTGAGCAAAAGTACAGGAACCCACTTGCCTCCTCACCAGATATCAGAAGCCAGCAGTTCTGCTGAAGCTACTGGGCTGGTTGCTTTCACTGCTAAATGACATAGTTGTTTGCATTGCTCCTACAGCTGCTAAA